ACAGTGACCCGGCTGCTATTTTGGGTGAGGAGGAGCTTAGGGAAGAGTGGAGGTGTCAAACAACCGGAAGCAAAGGGCAGCGGGAGAAGCAGCTAAGAGGCAGCTGTGGGATGAGGGATATGTGGGGGAGAGCTGACGTACCACCCCAGAGCAGGGCAGAGGGAGCCCATAACTGGCCAGATTCTGAGCAGAGCAGAATAGAAAATGGCACTTTGTTTTCATTCAACTTTTGTACCTTTGCATGCACATTTTAAATGTGTATGTTTTTGTTTTGCTGAACAGCAAGAGGGTGATAGACAAGTTTAAACTCCCAGAAGTTTTTTTTTTTAAAAAAAAAAAAAAAGTCTCGGGGGCCATCACCTTTGATTCTGACCTTCACAAGGAAGCACGTTTGGAAGTGTCTCTCTGGGTCAAGGTGTAACCCTAACCCCATGTGGTAGCCTTCAGCAGCTAGTAAAGGGCAGGGACACAGCCAGCCCACGGTGAGTATCTCAAACACCAGCCGGATGCTGCCATGCACCAACTAATGCACCAACTGCCATGTCCCCTTGTCACATCAACCACTGGTACGTCCTTTCGATGATACCACATGTTCTCTCTCAGCCCAATCCCCTGTGATTCTCCTTTCTATGCCCTGTTCCCTTACACAAAAACACATCCACAGGTTGTAGTATTTCCATCAGGAGTCCCTACTCGCTCGTGTGCGTACCGCTAGCGTTAGAAGGGATAAGATGCAGCCTGATTCCCTTTTTCTTGAAGGAGGCAATGAATGGCTCTTGGGGCAGCATTCAGAGTCTTCTGCATCCAGGCCGGCACCAAGGCCATGCTTGCCTTCCTGAGACACGGCGCTGAGGTGCACGCACAGACCCAGGAGCAGTGCTGCTGGAGGCAGCACCACCCCGCTCTCTTTCTGTGCCACTGGCACCTGAGCAAAACTTGGTGTCGTCTTGCCCTAGTGACCTTTTCTGCAGTTTTTTTTCCACGAGAAAAGCACTGCGCTTGCCTACTCTGGCTGTCTCCTACCTTTTTCGTAGGTCACGTTGTGCAAAAGACTAGTAAAATCTTCATTGATCAGCACAGGATCTGGGAGGTTAATGGATCGAAATGGGCTGCCTTGGAGAGGCGTAGGTACTGTCTGTGACCCGTGGTCATCCTTTTGCGCTCTTCTGTACAAATACAAAGAATGAGACAGAAAGTGTGAATGCTACCGAAGACGCTTCTAGTTACACTACAGCTGTGGCAGGCACCGGCATAAGCACAAGCGCAGAGGCAGAAGTAGAACAACTGAAGCAGACACCAGGAACGGAGTTGGCTTTGATGCAGTTTGTGAACAATATCCTAGACGCAACTTCCACTGGCTATAGGAGAAAGTTATTTCAGACCTGCTCTTTTGCAGGACATATCTCAGCTAATTAAATGGCTTAATTAGCTCGGGGGCTAGCCTAGATTTGCATCGAGGCAGTCGTACGTCCATCATCCGAACTGCATTTCAAAGGGAGGCTCGTCGCGGCCAGGGCGGACGAGCGATCTGCCTCCTCACGGTGACAGCGTGGCCCAGCGGTGTGAAAACATGCTCCCACGGGTCCCCACTCAGAGAAGAAAAGGCTGCTGACAAGGGAGCAGAGCATGACTGCACCTTCGGGTGCCCGTCGAGTCCCGCACGCTTCGCAGTGCGAGAAGGGAGGGGAAACTGCACTGCTATTGTCGGATAGGGTGGCTTAGCAACAGCTTTTAATGGTGAGGGAGGCCCCTGTCGCAAGTATTCCTGTCCCAACACGTCTCCGGTAGGTCTGTGCGTGTCACCAGGCCTTCGTTTCCCCCGGAGCCGCTGGGACTTTTCTCTGCTAGAATCCCACTGAGCATTGCTGTTTTTCTGCTGTGTTTGCTCAGTGAGTATATGTCTAAAAGCCTGGGGTGAACTGAAGGCTGGAGCTGCCACTAGTAGTCAGGGTTTATGCATGTGCCCAGCCAGGAAAAGATTAAGAAATTAAGCCATAAGGAAATGAACCAAAACGGACACCGGCGTTAATAAGCCCATCCGGAGCCCTGGAGTTCAGGCCCTTACTTCGCTTTCACTTTCCGGGATTCCCGCCGCTTCTCTTGCTGCAGTTGCTCGATTTTCTGTTGCATTTCCTCCTGCTTGGCGCTGATTTCTTCAATCATTGACTTTGCATCGCTGAGCTCCTCCTGAAAAACAAACAAAAGCACAATGTTCCCAGTGTCCCAGCATAGCTATTCACACATTGCGCTTGTTGGCCCAGATCCCAGTGTGATCAGTCATGCGTATAAGTTCTTGTCAATCAAGCCTCGAAGCTATCTTTTTAGCCCTGTTTCCCAAGGAAACAAGGCCCACTGTAACCTCCCTGTGCATGTGGCTCACGGTCAGCATGTGTTCCCCCAGCAGCCCTCAGGCAGTTTCAGCCAGACCTGGCATGGACATAGAGCTCTCCGACGCATGAAATTCCTGCAGGTTTCATCAACGTGATCAGCAGAATGGAGAAGAGGAACTCAAGAATTTCTTGTAAATCGCAGGAGAGGGATTTTTTTTTCCCTAGCAAGGAAGAGGCTTCACCAGGAGCTGCTCAACCCCACTATTAGATGATGGACATGAGCATGAGGCAGAGGGAAAGTAGTCTTTGCCCCTCCTGCTGCTGGCTTAACTCCTTGCATCTGGGTTTTAAAACCCCTTTTTGCCCCATAAGGATGTGCTAGATAACCCTGCCTCTGGCTGCTTTACGACCACCAGCATGTGCCCTTATGCTTCTTGCCATCTTCCTTGCTCAGCTAGAAGCACAGGACCACCTTCTGCTCAGTGCCAACTGTCTCTCCCTGCCACAGGGGCAACAACAGGCTTTTCCGGTAAGTAGCCCTCCTTATCTTCACAAGGTGTTATTGACTCAGCAAAACCTCTTGGGGAAAATTTACCATAAAAACAATAAAACAGGTCCTCTGCCAGCCTCCTCACAGGCAATGATCCAGTTTCTGCGGGGAGCTGCTGGCTGGTTTGAAGCGCACACCGAGCCCTCTCACTAGGCTCTCTCTGCAGCCCTTTGTCTTTAGCCTCTTGGGCCAGATCAAACCAGGCAGCGCTTCCTCCCAACCGCGTGGGAATGCAACTTCAAAAGGTTTTAGGGTTTTGTGTTCATTCCCTGCCCACGAGCGGCTTTGGTTCCTGCAGGAAATGCCCCCACCTGACCCAGAGAGACATACGGCGCAGGGGCACAGCAACCCACAAGCGCACCGTGTGCCTATAGCGTGTCACATGTGCAGCCCTCAACACAGGCCCCTTGTGCCCGAGGCAGCAGGCAGCACTGCCTTGTGGCCCCTTGAGAAGCCCAAACAGACCAGGGCATAGGTAACGTTTGGGTGAGAGTCCCAGCTCTCTTTGTGGGGGGAACCCAGGGCAGAAGGTACTGCACCAACTACATCTGCAAATAATTGCCAGTTTGTTCCCTTCTCAAGCAGGAAGGATCGATGAGGGAGAGCTGCCCCGTGCCGCCAGAGCAAACGTGGCAAGTAGGCATCCCTCCCACCAGTCACGCTCCTACCTTGAACGTGTTGAGGGAGTTTTTCATCTCAGCCACTTTCTCCTCCATGGCACAGCGGCAGCTCTTGACCTTCTCCTCCAGGGCATACTCGCCATGCTGGATTCGTGACAGCTCCTGCATCGCTTCTGTGAAACCCGCCTTCAACTCAGAGGCTAATGCCTGCAACTAGAGGAACCACAAACACGGTGGGTTCAGTCCCTCCTCCCAGACACAGGTGGCTGTGTCCCCGAGGGTCACCCATGGCGCAAAGACTGGGTGTAACCCGTCCTGTAAGGTGCTGTCCTCTTTCTCCTCCTCCTGTCATGGCTGGGAGACATGGGGGGAGGTTCAGCTCCTGCTGCAGCCTCGGCACGGGGTAGGAGTTGTTTGTCTCGGACAATTAAAGTGCCCCTTGCCAGCCCCGGAGTTTTTCCATGCTCCCTGGCAGGTTGCAGCCTGTCCATCTCCAGCAGGAGAGGACAGCCTGAAACACGCTTTGCAGGTTTGCAGTGACAGCAGCCAGATTTTCAATCCCCAAAGCAGCTGAGCAACCCAGAACATGACCCTTTTGGAGCAGGGCCTCCTTCCCCTGCATGCTCCCAGGGCTGGTGCTCTTGCTGCGCAGGTCTAACACCTCCTGGCTCTCAGAGGGCTGCGGAGAAGCCATGTCCTTTGTCAGTGGGCCCTTTCCAGGGAGGGAAACAGCTCTTTAGCAAAGACAACGTGCCCACCGTTGCTGTTTTCTATCCCTAGAGGCCCTAGCCCTGCCGGAAAAGCTCACAACCTAAGCTGGAGGCAGCCGGTTGACAGCCGGGCGAAGCAGGAGGCAGACCGGGCTGAGCCAGGCTCGCAGAGTGAGCAGACAAGGCAGGGTTGGAGGGGGACACTAGGGCAAGAGGGAGCCTGCGGAGGGGGGAGCGGCGGCGACCCTGAACTCAGCCCCCACTGCCATCAGCGAGGCTCTCGTTCTGCCTGCACAAAGCCCACAGCTAGGTCGCGGCCCAAGGCGCTTCGGTACCAGTGGTTTTTACCTTTACAACAGAAATTCGGCCTAACATCTGGTTATAAACTGAGTCCAAAACTGGAGCACTGATGGTAAGAGGACAGCCACCCCGGGGAACTCAGGCGCTTGAGTCCTGTAAATGGAGCAGAGATGGCTTCCGATACCTCAGGGCAATGGCATACACCATCCTCCTCTGGTCAAGACAGCCTCGGTCACCGCTGCTGTGGAGCGGACCAGCAGCGTCTTTACAGAGGACGTCTGCCTGACATCCCCACTCTTGCCCCAACGCTTGCCCCGCGGTCCCCCAGGCTGGTCTGGCTGGACACATTTCCAGAGCTGCGAAGGGCTCCCTCACCTGCCTCCTCCCTCTCCCGTAGGGGCAGGCGTCCAGTGAGAGAGGACTAGGAGCGCACTGGGGCGGAAAAACCTCAGCCTTGCCTAGCTGTGAGAGCACCCAGGGATCTCATAGCACCACTGGGACCAGAGCACACCCAGCAGCGAGGGTAGCTGGAAGGGGTAGAGGGGCTGTTTGGGCACTGTGCTCAGAGCAGCTGCTGGAGTTGTGCTGCTACAGGGGGCAATGCACACACCGCATCTGATATCCGCCCATTTATCAAAGCCCAGGGTGGTGAACCAGGTGATCCTGGCATCGTGAAACATCCTAACGGACAAACTTGGAGAAATGAAGGGACAAAAAGTGTTGCAACTGTCCAAAATGTTAACGTTCCCATGCCTTTACTCACTGGTGCTTGCCAGTGCCTTACACAGTACGGCTCATTTCCCTAGCATCAGGGCTGGACATCCTACACTTTCCACCAAGTGAAAAGCTGTGATGCTTCAGACCCATTTGAGAGATCTGTTTCAGGATGGAGGCCTGTCATCCTCCAAGTCCTGCTAGCAGGGGAAGTGATCTGGAAGCTGGCTCTGGAGATATCTCTCTCTGGGGAGAGTAAGCCCAAATTGAAATGTCCCACCACCGAGCCTGGCCATATTCTCCTCGGGTGCTTCCAGCGTGGGGGTAAACTAGATGGATCCTTTGCAGAAGTTACAGGGATGGGAGACAGTGCTGACCTTGAGGTTTTAAGAGACAAAAACTGCTGGATGTCATCAAAGTCAGCAAAAAAAGTGCTATTGTAGAGAATTCACTGTCCATGTATACTGAAACCCTCTCCAAAAGCAGAGTTTGGGTAGCTGAAGGAAAGATTTGGACTGGAAACTGGACTAAGTACCCTCTGTATCTCAGCAGATGCATCTAAAGGCACGCAGTCCGTTGTTATTGTAGGGTTCGCTATTGGCCAATCTCAGTTTTCCTAGTCATTCGGCTAGTTTGATTTCTCTGTCTACTCCTCAGGAGAACGCTCCAGATCCCAGCCTGGCCCTGTTGTGCCCAGTATGCCCTTCCTCAGCCCCATGCAGCTGGAGCTGGCAGTGGATATTTCAGACACCAAAACGCATCTTCTACTCTCATTTCCCTTTGTTGCCATGTGATGGATGAAAGCAGCAGTGACCCCAGTCAGCCACATCTGCCAGGATTTGTACAGCTGGACATGAAGTGCTGAAACCCTGAGAGCCGGGCTCAGCCAGAACTCCCTCCTCTGCTGCCCTCAGTGCTAGGAGCACAGAAACGAAGCATAAACAGCCTTGTGGTGTTGGATGCAGGTTTGACCCCAAATCAAATGGAGTGGTTTAAAAGCAACACATTATCTTTAAACTCCTGCCAAGCATGGTGTAGTACTTGAGCGCTGGGTTTCAGTTTGAGCTCATTTCTGATAACAAGCTGCAGAAAACCATCCTTTAAATCCCTTGAGTTATTACAAAAAAATGGAAGCCTTCAGAGCGTCGGCTCATGCTTATGTCTTGCCCATGTGCTTATGCCTGTGGGCCTGGAGAGATAATTCACTGCTTTGTGAGCCCCTGGAAAGTCGAGCGAATCCAGTATTTCTACAGTTTCTAAAGTGCAACACGTACCAAAAAAGACAGATTTCATACTGCCATGGAGACTTGGCAAGAGTTTAGCTGTAACGTGTTGTCCTGACGCACCTATTCATGGGAACAAATACAGTTGAAGAGGAACGCACCTTAGTTGAGTTAATTTGAGCTATCTAATGCCTTGAAGATAAATGAACCGGCATGGTCACAGGGAATCCTTAGAGCCTGTCCCAGAACTGGGAAAGACCTGTTCCAAAAAAACTTAGGAATCTAAATAATCCAGTATGACATAGACATTTCAGCAACCAGCTGCCTTTGCAGTGTGGCCCTCAAACCTGACAGCAGTGCAGTGTGGGAACCAGCACCATGCATCTGTAACAAGTGATGTCTTTGAGGGGGGGGAGGCTAGCTCTCATTTTACCTGCTGCCCTGCTGTTTATCAGCTCTGTGTGGAAAAGCCCTGCATGTAAGACCTCTAGCAACAGCAAGTAACTGCCCGCTGGAAATGAAGGATTCTCCTCCATGCTTTGCATGACTCTGATCAAGAGGACAGTGATGAGCAATCACTTGTGACTCTCACTTGACCTCCACCCTACAGGAATATGAACTCTATGTAGAAGTCCACCTGGAGAGGAGAGCAAGCATTTCCCAACGCAGAGGGGGAACCATGACCGTATGAAGGAAGTAATGGCTAGAAGGTATGACCATGCACAGCCTGGAAGGGTGAGATCACAAGACATGCAAGAAGCGCGTCTCGGCATGGTTTTGACTTTGCTTTGTAAGAGTGAAGTGGTAACAGCCATGAAATCCCCTTTGCTGAGCCTCTACTCCTGTCTCATCTGCTGTGCTGTCCCCAGAGGGTGGGCAGGAGGCAGCAAAACTGCAGAGCCTCCCCCTCCAAGACAGATGATCTCGGCGTGGAGGTATAACCTATAGACCTAAAACTGGGATGGATGGTTAGACTTTGTTGCTTAGTGGGTTCTATTTGCAGAACGTCATGACTGTCCCTGATGTCTAAAGCTTTGCTCTGAGACTTTGAGGCAGCCCAAGGAAGAGGGTCATAACCAGGAGATGGGGATAGCTTGCAGAAGGATGGGCATGGGACAGAAAGCAGAGGGGAGAGCCTTTGTAAGCTGGGTTTACTGCCCCTGCTGCTGCTGGGAAGGTGAGGATGAACCCTCACTGCCACAAGCTGTGTCACCACACATCTTCCCCAGCACCAGCCAGCCAGGCTGTCCAGGGCTCTGCACCTCCAAAGGGATCACTGTTCTGCACGTGCTGCATATGGTCCTTATGCTAGCACTGGGCCTGCTCTTGGGGACCTTGAGCTGGAGCCTGTCCAAGCCAGTAGGAAACAAGTCTGTGATGAAGAAATCCTGCAGATGAATAACTCTGTTGTTATAAATATATCCTAGAAAAGAGCAAGACCTCCTATGGCCTTGAAGATTTAAACCTTGAAGGTTTAAAGTGCTCAAAACACTTGTGTTTCCTGCAGACTGGAAGTGCCTAGAAAACATCAATGTGGAGACACTGAAACTGTGTTACTTCCCAGCTTACCCCAGCTTATCTGCTATCCATCACTTTGCGTTATCTTCAGATATGGCTGATCTGGCGAGGTAAGTAAATATTGTGTTATGCAAAAGAGGGCTCTCCTGTCTTGTTAGTGACATTACCTGAAACTAATTTGGCAGAATATCTAATACTTTCCACAAAGTCTGGATCTGATTTTCCTGAGCTGCTTGCTGCATGCTCTTATTAGGGAAAAAACAAATTTCTAGTGCAGCTATTTGGTCTTATGTTTAAAGGCAGCACTTCTGCAACCAAGCGTTAGGAAGGCTTGTGATGCCTCATAGCGGGAAGTCAGCAGAGCTGACAGCAGCAGAGCCTGACCCTAAGGGTATATCTAGCGTTTACAGGCAAGGACGGTGGGAATAAAGAAAGAGCGGAAGGGTAAGGACAAAAGAGAAGGGTGGAGGTATTTAAAGGGAGCTGCAAGCACACTGCACTTCTCAGCTCATTTCACGTCTCTGAGGTCTTTTTTGGTAATCGCAGTGTCCCTAGGGCCCTCGCTGGTGCAGAAGGGAACAGTGAGCTGGTAACTTTAATTGAAAGAATTCTTTAGGGTGTCCGCATCTCAGCTGGGTTTTTCTGGAAAGCAGTACGTGTGTGCACAGTGTTCCTCAGCACTGCAGAGGGGGAGGTTTCCCAGCACACTGGCCCTACAGCTGGTAAGCTTTCCAGGCCCGTTGGACCCACCGCCCTGGGCTCTTCAGCAACCCAGTCGCAGCTCCTGCTCGGAGCTGTCTGGATGAGAAAAGAGGAGGAAACAAGGGAAACTGCCTTGATATTGCAGTGCTGTACCTTCTCCATTATGGGCAAGGGGCACCCATAACTCTACAACCACTTGCCATGTTGCACTTACAAGCGATTATGGGCATTAGTGTTGCAAAGGTGCCTAGGGTGGTCTCAGATAGCCAGGATTTCCAGTGAGGGAAATGTTGCGCTCTCAAAATGCAGCTCCAGATCGAACTGGACCAAGGTTTAAATTGCTCAAAACTCTTTCGAATTTCCTACAGAATGGAAATGCCTAGGAAACATCATCGTGGAGACACTGAAACTGCATTTCACAGGAAGGAGCTCCCTGGGCCATGAAATAGACAATCTTTCACATTCACAGTGGCTATTTGCAGCACAAATGTCACATCAAGGAGTGGCCACAGAGCTCTGGAAGTCCTGAGCACCATGAGCCACAGCGGGGATGAAGCTGAGGGTTTCCCAGCTCCTGGCTGGGGCACCAGGCAGAGACATGCAGCAAGACTCAAAGCTTTCCTGCCCAGCTGCACTGGAGTATCAGGTAATAGCACCCTTTGGTCCAAGGAGCTGCGAAGCTGCCAGGATAACTTCAGAGCCCCCCGGGAGACTTGCTGCCTGCTGGAGAAGACCTCCCCAGGTCAATCAACACGTCCTTGCTCCTGGGGTAGTTCATCCGATTTGGTTGAAAGCTCATCAGAGCTCAGCCATGTAATCTCCCTCCAGCCCAATAAATTGACAGTCTCTAATTGGTGCTAATTGATGCCAGCTAGTTACTTAGCTGAGCGCACAAATCACCTGTCTAAACACAACTGGTTGCGAGCGGAGAAATTCTACTGGAGTGTCTTTTGAGATGAGGCTCAAGAGATGATATGTATGACATTTATTCATGCAGTGTGCACGTTTTGGTTGCCATGTTCCTTGTAAGTGCATACATTTCTTTCCCCACTGGATTTAGCTTTGCAACTACTGGTTATCTATTAGTAACTCTTCAAACTCATGGAGTTATTCAGGGCATTTTGCTCATTTTTACCTGGGAAATCTGTGTTGCAGGGTTACTCACAGGCACACTTTCAGTCTCTCCTGCGGGAATAAAGAACTTCAGTCAATTAAAATGACTTATTATGGTTGCTATAAATAACCGGAACAGAGGATTTGAAGTCCCTCTCAAGGTACAAATCGTTTCTAAAGGACTCAAGTCTCACTTTAGGAGATGTGGACACCATATAGGTTGTACAATAACTGCAGTCATAAAATGGGAATGGCTCAGCTAACTCTGACCTTACGTTCACCTCATTTGCTGTCCTCTTCCTGTCCAGAGCTGATCTATACAAAGAGGTGAGAAACCCTATATGCACAATTATGAATAAATTGCTCCCAGGAAGTTCATTCCCATGTACCAGCCTTTAGTAACAAGTTTTTACTCTGAAACATTACAGTTTAGTCAGTAATTTTGTTGATTTTTTTAATCCTCTATTGTACATATTTTCATTATCCCCATAAATGGCTGATCCAGTCAGTGTATTTTCAGCCCTAAGTTATATATTGTCACAACAGGTCCCAAGCAGTGACCGTCTGTTTTGTAACACCAAAAAATACACCCTTTATGAGTTTAAATTCCTGGGCTTTTGTGGCGCTGTGATCCCACCTGATCTTGTATAAGGGAGGTGGGCTTAACATTTCCAAACCACACTTGGCTCACAGAGTTTTGCAAAAGTGATCTGATCGCTGCAGAGGCATTCTCTCTAAGCATTATTGGGTTCTTGATGGAAAAAAGTCTATGTTTACTTATTTCCTCTTCTAACATGGTCTCATTTGTGCAGAAGCCTTGTGCAGAAATTGTCACTGGGTGTCACTGAGTGTGCTCCCTTGGCACATGGAGGGAATTGCAGTCCAGTTGCCATCGAATTCCATGTTATTCTCTAAACCAGGCTCCCTACCTCCCAGAAAGCACCGTGCCACCCAGTTCCTGGTCTGGGTCACCTCTCCTTGGCAATGCTCCTTCACAACGTGGGTTTTCTCCTGCCTCCAGGAATTGGCTTCGCCCCTCTACGCTGTCAGTCACCAGTGTGGCCGGAGGCCCGTTTTGCTGAGCTCCTCGTGTCCTTGCTGGATGCAGAGGCTCAGTGCCTTACCTTTAAGAGCGCAGAAAGGGTTTAGGGAGGACAGTTAACAAGTGGAAAGATGAAGCCTGGAAGTCAGGGCTGTGCAAAGCACAGCTCCGTGCCGATTACTTTGCCCCTGAGGGGGAATATGGGTTACTGCCAAGGGCACCTACAACTTGGCCCTGTTCTGGTCTCTAGGATTTGTCCTGATTCAGAGGAACGTGAGCAAATTCCCCAGCGACGCCCGGAAGTGAGAGGCGTAGGAGGGGAGGCCGGGTGCTCCTCTCCACCAAAACGTGCCACTTTCTCCCTGCGCTGCCTTGCGGCCATGGGGTTTGGCAGCAGGGTCAGGCACTGACCCTCTGGGAGATAATCCTCCGGGGTTCTTGCCGGGGGAAGCAAGGGACAGCAGGCTGATTCGGAGAAGTAACCAAGACCAGCACTGCCAGCTGACAGGGCTCGAAATCCATCAGCCAGCCCTCACCAAAGGCCAAGGTGCGTTTTTTAAATCACAAGTTGTTTTTATTTTCAGGTGTGGCCCTTCTGGGTTCGTCTTCAGATTTTCTCTGCAACACCGCAAAACGGACACTGACTTTTGGCCTGACCGATGACACTTGCTCGTGATTCCTGGAGCCGAGGCTTGGGAAAACAGCCAGTGTACTGAGATCCTCTGAAATCAAGAAGAATCCTTGGGGTATGTGTTTGTTCTGATGTAAATGTTAGTACTGGGTTTTTACTGTGGGATGGTAATGACTGACCCGAAAAGAGCAAGAGGATATGTTTCTTGGTTCATAGCACAATACAAAATAGCTGCTGGGAAGACAGGGAGAGGCTGTTTTTTGCAAAGTGCTAAAGGTATTGGATGCTCAGCTCTGTGAAGCGCTAGAGATGTCAGGCAGAAATGAGGTAGAGTGAGGAAGGGCCGTGTCTCTCTGTTCTCGCGTTTCCTTTGGGTGGTTTTTCAAACTGATCTATAATGCAGAGATCTGGAGCTGAAGTCTGCAGGGCTCGTTCATTTGGGTTTGGATCCGGATGAGTCCGTAACCTCCTCAAACACACTCAAAGCTAGGAACTGCCTCTGAGAAAAGGCAGAAGATGGGAGAGGATCCCTGCTACTGTGATTTTACCTCCCACTCCCGCGTGTATGAGCAGACGCACTCTCTGACCCCTGTATGTACCCGGCCAAAACCCCCAGTCATCTCTGCTGAGCTGCACTGTGGGAAGCAGGGGCTTTGTGCTTACCTCCCAGTTTCTGCAGTGAATATCTGCAGCCCATGGGGGCATACCGATTAATTGGAAAAAATCCGTAAGTTAATTTCCTTTTCAGCTTGCTGTTGTGCGGGGGCCTGGGTACACAGACCTAATTTAGTCAAATTAGAATAATAATAATATAGAAATTAACTCCTCGGGTTCCTGTGCCGTGACTGAACATTGGCACCACTGAGCATCTTTTAAGAGGGAAGGTGGCCGTCCGAACAGGAAGGGTCTTCATTGAGTTGATAATCACGGGCAATGGTAAAGGTTCTGCTCTTCATAGGTTCAAGGGCTCCTCAGTCTTCAAACCTCTGAGGTGGCAAGGCCGAGCACAACGATGCTCCCAGTGGTTTGGGGTGGAAAGCAAGTACCACCAGCCCCACATCCCTCTGCAAAAAGAATTTCTGAAGCTGATAACTGCTAGAGCCCTGGACCTGGAGCTGCTGAGCTTTGCAGACTCGGTAGAAATGCTGCTGACTGTAGCAGGAGTCTGGACTGGGGCACTGACATGAGCCATAACCTCTTGTGACAGTGCACGTGGGAGAGAGAGAGGCAGATCCTCACCATGCCTTCCTGTAAGATGTTGCTTTTGACAGCGTGAAGTCTCTGTAGATCCCAAGGCAGAGGTGGGTCCAAGGCAAGAGAGGGAGAATGATTTCCCGTATGGCACATCTCGTGTGCCACAGGATTATTTCCCAGAGGGGAAAGGAGAGGTGTTTTTTTAAAATAAGAAGTAAAAACTTCAAACCCCAAATATTTCTCCCAAGCTAAAGGAAGGGAACATGTGCACAGCCCGACTGGTTCTGCCACAGCTCAGAGGTGCTCTCATGGGGCTGGCAGATGTCTGCCAACAGACAGGTCATGTGAGGGCAGCTTTCTTCCTCGCTCTATTTCATACCATCAGCAAGTGAAATGAGAGGATGCTTTACCTTCTTGTTTGTTTGAATCCATGGCTGCTATAGGCTGTGCGTCCTCGCAGGGACTCCTGTCCTCACTCTGGAGGTCTCTGGCTGGTCACTGGGAACATCCCATGGTTTAGAGCTGCCCGCATGTGAGCTCTGCGATGGGTCAGATGGCCTGAACCCTGAGTGCAGAAAGACGCAGAAAGGGTTTACTGAGCTGAGAGGCTCCAAGTGCAGAAAACAGATGGAGGAGGGATTTGAGAGGGAACGAGGCATCCTAAAGATTTGTTTGGGTCCACAAAGTCCACACAAGCAGAGCGGCCTTCGAGTACAAACACTTTCCTCCCAGTCCAGGGCCATTTGTGCTTATGTGGGAAAGTGAGTAAGAGGTACTGTGCAATCCCATAGAGACTCTTTGCTGAGCAAGACACCTCTTGTTCAAACACAGAAGCAAAACAAGATGTGTTTTGAACAGTCAGAAGCATATAAGCGTCTTACACGGGTGCTCTGGATCAAAGGCCTTTTGATAAGCAACTGGTCACCCAAACTGTCCTGCAAACTTGTGTACGGGCCAAAGACATACTGCCTTCTCAGTGCTGCTGTGCCATCCCACGGGCACGTTCAGGAGCACTTGTACTGTCACGCCTGCTTTCTCTCCATTATCTAACTTTTGAGAGGCACAGGAGTGCTGCGAGGCACCTGGACGGGTAGAGACACGGCCTCTCTGGAAACCAGGGTTGACAAGGGATGATGCTGTGCCCAAGTCGCTTCCTTGATAAAGCGTTTCATGAGTCTGGAAATGTGGTAGGACCTTGGGAACAATCTTAAGATAATGCCTGATTAATGATGCAGGAAGAGCCTCAGAAAAACAGATTGCACTAACTCACTTCTCTTACAAGCCCGTACTTCTCTTATAAGTGTGGGCACTGCCCCACATCTACTCTTCCACTCCCCAGGTTTTAATTCAAGTCTGCTTTTGTACCAGATGTGATTTAGGAGTCTTAAATAGTCCCCCGCCTCCATTCCTCTTTAATAGTTATGCCCAAGGCTATGCCGAGAGATGTGAGTTTTCGGTAGCTTTGCTAATGGGATCGGAGAGGCCGGTGCAATTATGCTGCAAAGCTCTGCTGACACAGCTCAGCCAGGAGGGCTGCGGTGCTTCAGAGAAGCCCAGGGCCATTTTTTGGAAGAAGCAGGAAGAGAGGAGGTCACCTAGCATTAAAGAGCTGGTTGCCGGAGAGATGCAAGAAAAGCCCCGTGTGGCTTTAGGAGATGCTGCAAAAGTGGTTGCAACAGGCACAGTCAGCGCTGCAGCTTGGGGACCAGCCGCTTACGACCCACCAGCCGGCCTCCTCTTTCTGGTGTTTGCAGTGCGTGAGGTCCCCAGGGAGGCAGGCGGTGACGCCATCGGCGCCCCTGAGATCGGGGCCGTGCCGGACGTTAGTGAGCGGCAGGGAGGGATGCCACTTGAGGCAAATTGCCGTCACAGCGTCAGCTGTCCAGGCCTCCAGCAGTCCAGACTTGGACTGACGGAGGCTTGCAGCATGGTGCTGGAGGGATTTGGGGTTTAGCATATCCTGGGGCCTAAGGATTAATGAAAGGGCAAAGTTCTTGTAATAATATTGGTAAGGGATCCACAGGGATTCCTTTGATGACATGGATGGACACCTGAGCCATGGCAGCAGGTCAAAACTTCAGACTTTGGTGCTGTTGGGAACTTGGTACAAATGGACTAGACTAGATAGACTCAGGGTTACAGTGAGATAAATTTAATATTTTATTAAATCTGATTTCTATCAGTCAACAGTGTAAAAGCTTTTTTTTTGGGGGGGGGGAGTAGCTAAAAAAAACCATCAAGGAGTTGCAAGTGTTGTAAGGAAGAGAAGGTACAAGTTTGGGTCTCTGAGTGAAACAGACTTTTCCCTTCACCTTTTGCAGCAGTTGCTGCCCTCACTTCACTCACAGCTTGGATTAGCTGATGCCATGGAAAATTCCTGTGGCTTTCGTTATGGGGCCAGTGAACTGGGACCAGTTTCTTTAACACTGAGAACTGGATTCAAAATTCAGAATTGTTTTTGTAATGATGGGGGGGGGAAGGAGCAAATCGAAAAGGCAAAACAAAAATGAAAGAAATATAAACCTCCTCTGAGATAAACATTTTCAGTGGAAACAATCAACATGGCCTCTGGCCAGAAAAGCATTTTTTTATTATTTTTAACAAAAATATATACTTTTTTTTAACCAGTTCTGCCTTTAACTAGACCAGTTACAGTATTTATATCTTTATGTCATTGTTAACTAATAATGTCAACAGTCCTCAATTAGTATGGAACCAATGGTATTCATATACCACTAAATACACCAGCTGCACAGCCTGTCTTAAAGATGTTTATAATTTTACTATCCGCTTGATGAGTTATTCTGGGGATCCCTGAATCTCCAGTGACAATATTCACACCTCTGGCCTTCGCCGGGTGGCGTGCCCATACCCTGCCAGGGCACTTGGTGTGGGGCGGTGTTGCAAGTGGGAGGACAACCGCCCAACAGCTCTGGAGTGAAGGGCGCAATTTGGCGACTGGAATAGATAAAACTATTTTCTGCATGTATGTTTCATAAAAGTTTAGACTTTGCAGTAAAATTAGGGCAGGGCCATGAAGTCCCCAAACTCATTTCTGCTTCTGAGGTTGAAGCGGTGTGTTTCTGGGACTCGACTGGTAAGAGGTCTAAGTAAACAACTTCGGATGCAGCTTTAGGCACCAGCCCCAGCAAGAGCCCCTGTTCCTGCTGGCATGGAGAGTCAGGCTGGGCTGTGCTGGGAGGGCAGAGTTGTCTGAACTGGGAACAGCGGCTTCAACCCTCAACTGCTGAGCAATGTTAGCTGGCCACATCTTCACTGGGGCACTAGTGACGGCAGTTTGCTTAGTGCACGTCATAGGCGCGTTTACACTCAGTTATCAGAGCCTTCATGGAGGGGAAGGGAAACATATTTTTTGTGCTGAGGAGGGTTGGAGAAGACTGGAACTGAGGGAAGATATGTCCACCCAGGGGAATTTTTTCTTTTTCTCTTTCCTTTTTTTGGCCAGAAGACATATTCAAAAAGTTGCAAACACAGGAAAACAAGCAACTCCAACCCATACTGCTGCACAGCTTTAAATGAGGGAGGACTCTAATCAGGGGACTCTAACCCATGAAAAAACCACGTGGAAACAGGTTGCAATGTCAGGCACCCAAGGTGAAGAAAAGCCAGAATTAAAGCATAATTCAGTTCTACGAAGTGCTATCTACTTCCCCTCTTAGACCAGCTCTTCCCAGGTACCTGAGACCTCAAAATGCTTGTGTCTTTGTCTAGGTCCCATTTCTGCCCGACACGTCCCCTGGGCTCTGCCGTCAGCCTCACTGCAGGCAGTTCAGGATGCAGAGTACAACAAAGAGCACCTGCCATGACCCTCCAGCCCCACACGGAAACTTGTCCTCACATGGGGCGGCGCAGCTAAGGAGGAGAAGCTTACAGGTGGGCATCCTCCCCTCCGCTATGCTACAGCTGATGCCGTGCAACCGCTCGGATCCAGCACAAAGAAAAGGGTTTGCCTGCTTACCTCCTAAAACACAGATGGATGAATTTGTCCAGTGAGGAGAAAAGTGACCTACATGGGGTTTTCGTAGAAGGAGGGCTCTTGCTAGTTCACATCATTGTTCTGTTTTCGTGCTCTTTTAACTTTAGGCCGCAGAGGACTGAGAGGGAACCCCTCGGCATTGCATCTTGCCTCCTGGCTTATGAAAACATTGTGGGTTCCTGATATCGGCAGTAACTTTCCCTCACAGAGGGAACTCTAAGCAGTACCCACATGGCACACGCGGTGAGAAGCTTCCACGTCCCACTTGTGTGGCCAAGGATGGTGCGAGTGTGGTCTCTGTCCTCTGCAGAGCCCGGGAGCGAGGCTTTGGAACTGGGACACTGGGGATGCCGTGATCCCCTTCTGCTCCAGCACCACCAAGAGCTCTGCTACGTGACCGTGCTGCAAAGTAGGTTGACCTTGGTTAAGTGGGTCCAGAAAATCTTCTTGTCGTACCAGAGTAGCTGTCTTTCAGGTGTCCTTTAGCTGCAGCCTGCAGTTTCCTGGCTTCTTGCCAATGTTTAGGAATCCCTGCTGGACTGCGTGAATATACAACACTGTCTACCTGTCCCTGGTTCTTCTGAATTATCAAATATATGGAGCAGAACTCGTTGGTCCTTGCTCAGCACTAAAACAAAACATGCACTTTGCTGTGGTTTGGGCCAGCTCAGAACAGCTGCATCGAGTGCTTGTCCTCTGTCCCCCCGACTGCCAGCGGGGAAGCTGTTAACACTGTCCTCACCAAGGGTGAGTGTTTCAGTCAGTCCGAGTTGGCTGACAAGCGTCTGGCTTGTTCCCAAAGGTTACAAAAACGGCTTGGAAAATAAGACTGGCATTTGGCCCTGAGACCCCATACATGGGCTGCTGGTTCAAATCCTGCCTCTGCTGACAGCGAACAAAAATCATAGGCTCACAGCAGGGTCTAGGTGAGCAGGGATCCCTAGAGGTCTCTAGTCCAATTCCCTGCTCAAAGCAGGGCTAAGCCCAACCTAGATCAAGGTTGCTCAGGTTTGAATATCTCCCACGCTGGAGACCCCACAGCCTCCTTGGGCCCTCCAGCACCCTAAAGCTTGCTTATTTTCTCACTGCTGAGCAAGCGCCGTTCCCTTAACCCCTTCCCGTATGCACGTACGCAAATGCATGTGCAAGAGCAAGCGTGCCCTCCAGGAGGCTACTTTCCTAAACCACCTGCAGCAAATCCAAGGTTTGCCTCAGCTGCCAGCCTGCCACAGGGTAGTTTCCCCATCAGCAAGTAGCTCTAGAGGTGTTATTGCTGTTCCTCTGCCAGCAGCACAGGCTCAGCACGCAGTCACATGCAGCCGTCAGTGGACTGCCTGCACCTGCCACCCACGCTCACAGCCCCTCGGCTTTAGGGACGGCCATAACTGGAAGAGGCATGCTTGTTTCTTCAGAGCTGAGAATTAAAGCTCGGATTTGGCCTCCTGGAGCTCTCATCGAGCTTGCATGACATCTCCGGAGCAAAGCCCAGAGGATCCATTCAGCACGATAAAGCCACCAGGTTCCTCCCTCATGGCAAAAGGAAGCGTTTTCCCCTTTTGTCCCCGTCTTTCTTCCTGTACCCGAATCTGCCGAGCCCAAGAACCAAAGCTGAGTGGCACTTCTGCCGTCAGTGATCTTCATGACTCCGGCCACCAGCGTCCAGCGAAAAAATACTGCCCTGGCACCTTCCACGGGCAGCTGGCCCCGGAGCGTGGCCAGGGGGACCGGGAGAGGAGGCAGGTCCTGAAGCCTGCGCGGCACTTCTGTGATGCTGTTCACCCTTCCAGTGCTTCCCTCCAGACATGAAATGGCCCAACTTGGAGAAATAATCCACTGTTTATAGGCTCTCTTCCAAATACCCCAAGCATCAGCATGCAAACAAAGTTAGGTAAAGCATTTGCAACCTAGCGTGGATGGACAACAGTTACTGTTTGTTTGGTTTTCCATCCCATTCTGTTTCTGAAATCATGAAATGGATAACAATGCAGGGGAATCTGAATGCACTTTTGCTCCTTCAGTTGTTAAACATCCACAGTTTTCCTAAATAAATGCTCACAGTCTTCCTGGTGACTATCTCACAACCCTGCCGGCCAGGATTGCTGTCTGTTATAAATATCACCCCTGGAGAACACCCCTAGTCCACAGACAGCAAAAAATCAGTGATTTACTCATGAGTCTCACGCTTTGTCTCCAGCTAATTCTAATGCATTATCATTCAAATACTTGAGACCTCAATTTAGCTCTTAAATGGTAAGAGCAAAGAAGTCTTTTCAACCTGGTGTTTTAGAGACCTTACTATAAATGCAGCCTCACAGAATTCTCCAGCACATTGAGAAGGTAGATCTCCATGCACAGTCTTAGAAGAAATTAGCCAGAAATAACCGTGGGCACTGAAGACAGAAAATACTTTAAATACCATCTTATATGCTATCCATGCAGCATTTAACAGCTACAGCTCTAGCTTTTCCCAATAACATGAAAAATGGCATTGTTAATCCCTCTTTTCATCCCATGCCGAATACGTTTTAAACTTACCCCAGGCTAGTTGAAGATCCGTCAGCACTGGCAGTTGCCAGAGTTGGGAATTAGCACTGTGCAAGAGAGGAGAGAAAGGAGAGCAATGGTGGCTTGACGTTTCCCAGGATGGGACTGTCACATGCTAATCACTGATTTGAAATGCAAGCATAACAAATGCCTTCTAATTACGTAATCTTCGGGTCACATCCTTGCATCCCCATGCAAAAACCAGGACTGTGCGCTTGGAAGAAGACGTTATCGACTTTTTTCTTTTTTTTTTTTTTTTTCCTTTTTAATTAGACTTGCACATTGCTGCAAAGGGAAGCCTCGCAAAGCGCCGGGCGGGGGGGGGGGCCGTACGGCTGGTGTGGTCTGTGCTACTTCGCCGAGCTCCGTGGCTGCTAAGTACCTCCCGTGGCACCTGCGCGAGGCAGCCTGCGGCTGGGGACAAGGACGTGGGACCGGCTCACCTTCTGTGGCACCCTCAGTCTCCTAGGGCTACCAGGGCCAGGACGGCGGCTCGCCTACGCGCCTTGCCTCGTTCGAGGGCCAAGAGCAGGGTTGCCAAAGAAGCCAGGGAAGGGGAGCTGCAACCACCAGCACTCACGTATTTTCCATTTCTGGTTAGATCATGACAAGTTCCCCTTGAGAAAAAGAAAAATGGGGGGGGAGGGGGTTGAGGGATGTAGGGGAGTGGGAGGCAGCAGCCCTGAGTGCCTCTTTGGTTTCATTGCTAAGGTCGTGCAGGGCTTTTGCGCCAAAGGACGTTAAGAAGATGTGGGGAGAAAGCAGGTTAGGCAAGGCCAAGAGCATCAGGAAAAGGTTTGTGCTGGTCCAGTGAGTCACTCCAAAGCAGAAGAGCAGGGAGACATAGCAGAATAGGAAAAATAGCAAAAGGCGGAAGAATTTCTCACTGAAAGACAAAGCTCTGCTTCAAAGACGCCCGTCAGGCAGAAAACCTGGAATGTGAACTCACATAGCCTAATTCAGTATAATTACTGTGCTGCACAGATAAACGGTGGGGAGGCAGAGTCCTAGCTGAGGAGCTGGAAGGACAGACTCCTGGATTAAAGCTCTGTGGAAGATGCTGCTACCTCTGAAGTCAAGGACTAGAGACAGAGGACGCTGCTGCTTTTTTGGAGCTGGCTATTTCAGGAGCAGAACAGAACTGAGCAAACTAAAATAATAATTCTGAAGAAGCAATTTGCTAGAAAATGCGTTTTTGGTGGGTCACAAATGCCTGTGAATACAACAAACAGTTCCAGCTAGAAAAAAAAAAGTTTTTTTAATAATAAAAATAAACATTTCAAATAGAGATTTTTTCTACAGGCAGCTTTAATAAAAAGGGCTGAAAGGAGCTGTATCACCAAACGATCAATGAGCTGCTTTGCTTCAGATGGCCCAGTCTCTTTCAGTGAGCTGACAACGTGCTGTTTTTTTCAGTCTACTAAGAAACCACTGGGCACTCTAAACCTTCAAAATGGTTTCTGACAGCAGCAGAAGAGGATGCTTTCCTATGTCCGAGAAGCGTTTCGCTAAGCAATATATTAAGAGTCCTTGTTCCATGGCTACAAGGAAACATGGATGAAAAGCCATACCCTTGGGTGAGCTTTCCAGTCACAGAGGTATTGCTGGCGTGTGCCATTTTGCTCCAACAGCTTTCTTCTCCACGCCCGGGCTATCGCCACAGCTAAGGCCAGCAGTGGGCCAAGGCAGCAATGTTTGGTAGCAACGGGTGGCATCTGGCAGCTAAGCCTATTTAACGCACTTTTCTTTCCCCAGTCTCCTGTGGTGGATTTAAAGACCTGTTAATGTCTGAGGATCAGCCCGGAGGTGATTTTCTGACTCTTTTTCCCCATATCTTAGCAAAACGAGAGGAATATTTGAAGGCACATCTGAAGGAATAGCATTTGTACATCATGTCTGCAAAGGGAGACAAGGCCAAGTATTTTACACTGTTCAACATCCGGCAAGCAAAGACTCAAAACACACTTTTTTTTTTCCCCGACAGCACTGTTGTTTTTCTTTTCTTTTTTTTCCTACTAGAAAGCAATTTTTCTGCTTTTTAAAGCAAAGTATTTAGATTCATGGAGCGAAGAGACTTTTGATGACCAAAAAATAGAAAGAAAAAAAAATAGAAATAGATTTATCATTGCATTAGACCTTCCGATAGGGGCAGTGGCAGTGATCAGCTGCCCATGCGCGCTCTCCCATCTATTTCCCTCCCACAGAAAAGTAGCTTTGGTGCACGACAAAGGTAAATCTTTGAGTAGTCTGTGGCTGAAACCAGGGGTTTATGGGCTTGGCCTGGGAGGAGTAATTATAGTGCTCCTGCTGCACCTGCTCTCTGTGCTGACCCCCACGATGCCAAGCCTGGCTTAGTGTAAACATGATCATATGAGCGCTGTGTTTGCAAAGGCTTCTGTGGGTGGAGAGGTTTGTTTTTCTGGGAAAGTTACACAAGTAGAGCATAAATTAGGCTTCAGTTGTTGATGACAGGTTTTTTCAGCTTTATCTTGAGAAACCTGGGGAGAAAGAAATTCCTTGGACAAATTAAAAATTAAAAAAAAAAAAAAAAAAGGAAGACCAGCTGATCAAACTGAAATGAAAAACAATTGTTTATTCTCTCTACTAGCGATATGCATCCTCAGAGGTTATTTTTAATAAATAAATGAAGAAATGAATGCCTGTTGAAAACTGGTCACAGCTGTCTGAGCTCAGAAAGCAGCCAAAGAGCTGCCTTAAATCAATGCTACTGTCAGTGCCAAATAGCTACATTTTCAGCTTCTGCTTCAGTCCCACTGCTGCTGTGTGGTGAAACGTGCCGCTCCACTCCACTCCTTTTTCATCTATAAATTCTCCTTCACCTTCCAGCCTGTAACAGCATAAATCCAGTCTGTTAATGAAGAACGCAGTCTGTTTGTGGCAGCATGGTGATGCGTGCACAAGCTGGATAAACGAATTACCAGGAAGCAGAAACTTCCCAGTCTAGACTAAAGTACCTGCCTTAACTTTCTTCCTACATGGTAGCCCGTAAAAGTTTTGACTTACAAACTAGGAAGACTTATGAAGCACACAGGTTAGACAGCCAAGCTATATATTCCTTCCTTTGCTTTGCAGAAGTGTATTTACACCAGCATCTTCCCAGCATGTAGCCTGTACAGGAATAGTGTCATAGTCCTGGTCATGATTTGAGGTCACTGAGGCTCAAGTCTTGTGAAGTTTATCCTGACTTTCATTAGGGGCATCCTAAAAGTGTATACCTGTATGCAGCCATTTACTGTGTGATATTATTGCTGTAAAAATCATCTACTCTTACTCTTTCTCCAGCACTCTCTAAGTGGCATTATGACAAAGTGCAGGGATTTACAGCCTCCTGTGGGGAAAAAAATGTAACTGCCATGTGATTTCACTTCTTATAAGGCATGTATTTCTGCTGATCTTTGAAAGCTGTGATCAAACTCATAATAATACCTGAAAACCGCTACAAAGAAGAAATGTCTATGCAGCAATATCCCTTGCAAATGAGGAAAAAATAACTTTTAAAACCAATTATTGGAGATTTGTTTCCCTTAAAAAATAAATCCACCTAGCAGTCAGAGCTCGTTGCTATGGTGCTGCCTATATCGTTCTCCCATAAAAACTGCAGTGATCTGGTGAACTGACACCTATCTTGTGCGAGTAGGTGGAAACTAGCAGACCTGAAACTTGGCTGAACAGCCAACATTAGGCTGTCGGGATGCAGCGTGTATTAACGATCACAAATCAATGTCAACAAAGAAAAAATTTTGATTCCCTGAGGAAAATGGCAGTGCAGGTAAAGATGGGGTCTCTGCTGCAAAGCAGGGTATGTCTGCATCCGCATTTTAATTTAGATCACAAGTTTGAATCAGCACCCGCTGTTTTGCTCTGCAGGTCAGCTACTAGTGACAAGTACTGTGCTGGCCCTTCTGTGCTGGGCTGTATTTTTCCCACGAGAACAGGGGCGTCACCCTAATTTTCTTGAGAGAAAATGCCTGTAAAGCTACGTATGTGATCTCTTGATGAATATGCTCAAAGTGATGGTTATTTACGATTCTAGTACTCATGCAGAGGTCAGATGGCATTTAATGTGACAGCAAAGACAGAAGGTCTTTAGCAGATGTTAACATGCCACTGTAATAGTGGCATTATTTAATTGAACTAGATGTGTTCTGAAGCATTGAAGTAAATGTCTTTTTCCTCAAACAACAGTTTGAGATTATACAGGTTTCCATTTTGTATCCAACTACGTTCTGCTAACATGTATTGAATTTGGTGTCTGGTCATTTAAAAGCAGAATTGGTCATGCTTCTAGTACTGCTGTGGGCTATTCAGCAGGGCAAGATCGGGCTGTTTTCTGGTGAAAGACTAGCTATTGCCAACACATACACATTTTAGATTGATTTCACATGTGGGACTAGGGAGGGACTTAAACCTAAATTGAACCTAGCAAATTTGACAGAGAAGTCATTTGATGAGAATAAACATGAACACCCTGATGTCATTTTTTACAGTTAGCTTTCTCATTAGATCTGTCTTGTGGATTATAAAGTGGGTATCAGCTTTTTGTTTTAGGAGAAGATGGTATCTTAGCACTTCAAAACATACACACACACACGCTTACTCAACAGAAATGAACTCAGCTGCTGCTTTATATGAGAGTCCTTAAAACTTTTGCTTCCGAGTGATAAAAATAAGCCTCCAAATTTTCCCATCTCTATGGGATTTTTACTTTATCTCAAAAGTAAGTAAACAAAAAACTTCACAAGCAACTGTCAGCACAAATCAACACTATATTTCTTTATGAGTCTGCAGGCAGACAGCTTGAAACACTAACTCTGAAATGGATCTGAACTGTTCTGTTCCTCTGAACTGCGTGCAAGCCCAAAGACTTGGTAACAAAATAAAAGGTGGGTGGATGGGATAACTGTCTTGAAAACTTCTGACTGGGAGAGCATCATGGATTTTTGACTGATCTGACGAAAAGCATACAACTGAGATCATTGCACTCAGAGACCGGTGCAAATTTCCTGGTACCAAAAAAAAAAAAAAAAAAATCGACTCCTGTGCTGGATCAATGTTAGTTGGCCTTTAAACCTTACAATTTGAAACTAACGGAAGAGACTGTGTGACTCTTTTCAACTTTAAACCTACTTGTTTTCATTGAACGGTCCAATGTACTTTGCTCCATTTGGAAATGTGTAGGTTCCTACTCCATGAAACATGTTGTCTTTGAACTCGCCTTCATAAACTGCCCCCGAAGGATGTTCCAGCCTTCCTGTGCCATTCATCTGCGTTTAATCAGAGTTGGAGGATAAAGAAAAGGAGGGTTAATGTTTATGTTTACAGTATTATTTCCTTTCACTACAGTATTCTTCCAGATAACTGAAACCTGAGTCTGCTATCATACTCAGATAAACGGAGAGGACAGTGACTGTTCTTTCAAACTTAGTCAGTTCCTGCTTCTACAGGGACTTCAGATACAGCTTAGAAGTTTTTGGCCAACCCCAGTGCCCAGTAAACCCTTCCTCTGATGGCAATGTCACAGGATCTTCAGAATTTACGCAGCCAGGGAACTGCTGTCTCCAGCCCTACAAATAACTCACCTACCCTGACAGCCTGAGGGGCTCATTAAGTTTTCCAGCATTTCTTTCGGTGGATCAAGGCAGAGTGAGCCTTTCGCTTGTTCACCCTAGGCCACGAAGCCATCCCTTGGGATTTAAATCCTTTACAGCTCATTTGTACCATAATCTTAACTCTTACTGCTGCGCAAACGTTTTTGTAAGAGACTGAAGAAAAGGGCAGACTGGATCTAAAACAGCCGCAGGACACCGTTTCCTAATTTCAAACCCTTGTTTGTCTCGTTCCAGGGCTGTCTCCTCTCCGACACCAGCAAAACCCAACGAGTTTCCAGTCCTTGCTGATTAATTCCTGGCGAACCCAGCGACGGCGTGTCTCCTCCAGACCAGCTCTGCCCTGTTTCGTTCCGGGAGGTGCGCCCGCGCC